TAACAATAAATTAATTATATATATATATATATATATATATACAAAATAAAAGATGCTTTTATGTAGATATACATAGAGATTTCATTGAGAGAATGAGAAATTCATTAACTGCTGATATAATAGGAATCTACTTTTCGCAAGATGTATTGCGAGTGAAAATCACTATCTATGTTATCCGTATTGTCATATACCATTTGTTTATAAATAATAAATTAAGTTTCGCAAGTTTGTTTAATTAAAATTTCTACTTGGTACAAAAATTAATATCTTCATATACATCTTCGCGGAAAAATTTATCACTAAAATCAAAACCTCATAGCCTTAATCAATAATTATTAAAACGATAAGTGGTACAGTAAACTTATTAAACGAGCAATAACTTAGTATAAGCTTAGTATAAGCTCCAAGTAAATAAAATATATTTACGCATCAGCAAGATAACTAGATCGTTCGAACATTGTACTCTCTTGTATAAAATTATTTAATATTTTACGATAGGAGAGATGGCGAGGATAAAGGAGGATGCTGATAAAATTCAATATGCATAATAATAAATGCGGAAGCTCCGGCGGAAGAGAATACGCAGGAGGGAGGAAGTCAAAGGTCAACGGACGCGTTTATTAGACGAGAAACATGTCGAGAAATTAATGTAATATTAATGTATAAACATAGAGATTCGCGGTTTGCATTCTGCATAACGGAATGCAGACGTGGAATGCATGCGCATATCTCGGCAATAATTTGCAGCTTTAAACGATCTACATGTAAACGCACCATGGAAACAATACGAATTGCCTAGAGCATGTTTGCGACACCTCGATGAAGAGAGAAGGAACCGCTTTTCGCATTTAAAAGAAGCCAGTCATGAGTAAGCAAAAAGGGAGCCAAACGGATCGGGGCGGTGATGAGATCGGAAAGAAAGCAAACCAGATGTCGTTCGCTTTACCGAACGGTTTAACGGCGCCAATTTAATTATGATTCGCTCGAATATATTTTATTTACGAAAATACGAGAAAGAAAGAGAGAGATAGAGAGAGATAATGAGGCTATCGCGGAGATCAGGTATGCCGATCAGCTTTATCGATTTTACGTGACACGGTGGCGCAACGAAAATAATCGCTATCTAACATCACGACGCGATAAATCACGAATGACGGAAAAGCTTCAAGGCTTTCGATAAAGAGAAGTAAGAGTAATTAGAAAATCATTACTAATCAAATTACTGCTTAATATATACGCCGCCTCTCGATAGAATTTATCTTTAAATAATGCAATTTCAATTACATTAATTTATTTTACTAATATATACAGAGGGAAATTACGTTAAATTCATATTTAAATTCACATTTTACTAATTCACAAATTTATCATTTTGACGTGAGATTACTTTGACACTGAGATATTCCAGATATCTATCATATATTTGGTTTATTTTTTTAGGTTGCACTAAAGCTTTTTATCTTACTTTTTTGTCAAACTTTAAATATATATCTATTTCATTTTAAGTATAACGAACGCATACATTACTTTCATTTATAAAAAAACAGGCCAATTAATTTTTAAAATAAGAAAATTTAATCTTTTCTTCAAAATAAACATTTTCAAATGTGTAAGAATTTTATTTCTTTTCTATCGTGCATCAAATAAAGTTAGAATACCAAAGCAATTTTTATATATAAATTTCTCTGACTCTAAATAAAAAAAAAATATGTTCATTAAATTTGCTTCAATCACGACAAAATTTTGTTCTCGATATTATCTAACAGGGCAGGGATTATTCATATCAATTACGTAAAAGTAATATTCTTACCGTTCCTTTTGATCTCCCCCGTCTCGTTAAGGGTCTGGGAGATCCATTGAATCGACGATTGTTAAGGAAAACGCCGGAGGTGATTCATGGTATCGACCGCGCGGCGACGCTCGCGTCGACGCTCCTCCCCATAGACAGGAGGGACGGCCCTCACAGTTTGCTGTTACGTTTGCGGCCGCGTCTCCGCTGCGTCGGTGTGTACAATCGCGGCTCGATCAGTAGCAGCTGACTCGCTGGTCGGGGTATACGTTGTCGCGCCGCCTACTCAGTGGAAGCGAGCCGCGCACGCGCGCGCCCGCACGTACGTACGCACGCACGTCCGCCCGCCCGCCCGCTCGCTCGCTCGCCTGCGTTCGGGGGCGAGAGAGCTTACTTACGTACAAACGAGAGTTGTACGCGCCGAGATAGTGCGCGCGTCGTCGTCATCGTGCGTGTTCGCTGTCCTATGTCAGTGTAAGTGTTCGCTCTGTGCGTGTTACCGGTGTCGCATACATCCGCGCGTGTGTATACCTTCTCGGAAGAAACGTGAAGACGAGTGAGATATGCCGTTCGCAGTCTCCATCGGCACCACCACCGCCACCGCCACCGCCACTGTCACCGCCACCGCGAGCTACTGCGTGACAAACGCACGCACGTGAATCGTGCGCACGCCGCGACGGATACGCACGACGAGGTGAGCGATTCATTCGAGAAGAAAGAGAGAGAGAGAGAGAGAGAGAGAGAGACGC